AATTTATTTCATTTTTGTTCTAAACCAAGACCAACGCAAACGCATTTAATGCATGAGGAAAATATACAAATGCGGTAAGATAGTTAGCACCTTTGTTTGAAAACGTTCAAATGGCGCCAGCTAACAGCAGGTAACTGGAAGAAATAGATACACACTTCAATTTATATTTTGAAAGACAGAAAAGCTGTCTAAAATTAAACAAAGATGTTGCCATTAGCAAAAAGAAAATTAATGGCGCAGTTTGAGAAGTGTGAAAATATTGCACGTAGTTAATTTGTCCATGAGCAATTCTCAAATTTGAACCAGGTGTAAGTTCAATCACTCAATGGAATAAAGATTTGTAAATTTTGCGTATGATAAATTGCTGCTTCACATGAAAGAATACTCTACCTATCAATTTTAATTTTGGCACGCTAGTGATTTCACTCATTCGCCTTCGTAGCTGCAGGAACATGCGCCATCTTTAAAACAACATTTAAAAAGTTTCGATCTTCCTCCAAATAATTATTATATGCCTCAATGAAGAATTCATAATTTTGTGAAAACTACCGTTGCAGTATCTGTTATGATCCTATACAACTCTATGCTATTCCATATATATAATATACCATATATCATCGCTAGTGAATATTAGTTGAAATTTTGAACTAAAGCTATAGCCTAATCATCAAACCAGCAACATAGGACCTATGTCGAAATTTCAGTGTTAATTCGATCTTTTCCTGACTCATTTCGCTACGACAGTATACATTTTAGTATCCAAAATGTTAATTAAACTACCTTCTTAGCTCTCCGGGCTTTCTCCCTGTGTTTTGAACGAAAATAAGAAACATAAACACCTGCTAACTGCTTATCACAGTCACGTCATGTTTGGATATTGTGTGATGTAATCCACGCGAAGAAATTGCAATTTCTTGTTTAAAATTATTATTTGTATTTGTAAAGTTACCGGTTGTCATTTGAAACAAGTTGTCTTTTATTTACAAAAATGATGAAATTCTCTCTTTTTGCTACCATACTACTACAAAAACAAGTAATGCCGATAAATTGAGATGAGTTCGCACCACTTGAATTTAAGACAACCTTTAACAGAATTTTAAAAATCTTAATCTTTGAGCATCATACACTTTTTATCTTTTCTTAGCCTCGGACTTTTAGAGCTAAGTCGCAAAACAATGGCATACCACTTGTCTGATTGTGTCCCTCACAGCTTGTCTGACTTCTTCTATCTTCCAGCAGTAAAAAATCGGGTTTAATGACGAGTTAAAGAAAACTAAAGTGAATGCATAACGCCAAGCGTAATAAACGGATGAAATTCGTCCACTATTTGGCGCCAAAGCCGTCACTACACCATAGGGTAGGTAACAAATGACCATCGCCAGTTGCAGCCATATTGCACTGGACAGTGCCTTTTTGTATCGCGCTATGCTCACTTGATTTGTTTCGTTCGGTTGTTGAACATGGTCTTGTACTTGATTTTGATGATGACGGAGGGTGAGGAATATCTTTGAGTAAGAGAAGATCGAGGTTACTAGACACAGAGATATAGCTATGATACCGCACCATAAGGTTATAAGGGGATTCCAAAATTGCATTGCCGAAATGACAGTGGACACAACCCAAAACGTAATAACGATCATGTAAGTTCGCTTTAAAGTTACAACTTGTCTGTATCTTAGTCCCAACAACAGGGCGAGAAGTCTGTCCACGCTAATTGCAGTCAGTGTCAACACAGATACTCCACAGAAAATATTGGCTGTTGTAAAGCCCGTTGCTGTTGCGTAGCGACACATATTCCAATGTTCGTTCACTATAGACATGCAATAGGTAACAAAGAGAGGCTCTGAGATAAGACCAACGCAGAGATCGGTTGTTGCAAGGCATCGAAGCAAGAGTTTGGACGGCGGATGAAGTGAAGACTCCTTATGAAGAGCAATTAGGATCAGAGCATTCCCAAGAAATGCAGTAATGGACAGAAAAGAGTTTAAAACTGCAATAAATGTTAACTGGCTGTGTATTCCATCAGGTAATTCTGCGGAGCATAAAAGCTCTTCAACTGTTTTCTGCCGTCCATTTCCAGCAAGGATTGCTGATGCCATATTTATCTTGAAGAGAGCTCAGTATTTGCAGCTTAACTTCAAGCTAGAATCGGTTAATTAACCATCAAACTGTAAACCTTTCAGTATATAACCTAGTAAAGTTACGCGGCACTGACCTTCTTAACAGCTGACGAACAATCAAAACGCTTTTTGTAACGTCTTATTTTAAGTTTTTCCAAGCCTGTCAGTCATTGAAACATTGCCAGTTTCAAAATATAAATTAACTAGCTATAGCCGAGCAGCTGGTTTAAGTCATGCGGCGAACCCAAATCGATAAGTTCGACTTTGGAGCGTCTTTGGAGCGAAGGTTTGTTCAGAAGACGTACTTGCGTCGGACATAATTCGGGAAGCCCGTGGTAAAACGTTTTCAGTTTTGGTGCATGAGTGGAGCGGCGTTTGGAACGGTCCTCACTAAACAGTCATTTAATGCATAGCCAAACGCATTAAAACGCCTGTTTCGACGTGTGTCATTAACAAGTAATCACATGATTACTCTGGTGAAATTTGGAATAAATTCGGAGTCCACTCATCTCCCCCGAGAATTTATCGAGCATTTTAAAACTTTTCATGCCTCAGGGTTGGGCATTTGCAATTAGAGGGAGAGTAACAAATTTGCAAATTGATCTGTTGTAACCCTCCCCAGTTAGTTTCGTTCAATAAATACACACTTCAATTTGACAAAGACACATCCGTCAGAAGCCTTTGTTTTTACTTTAATAGCTCGGCTTCAAAAATTTGACGAGAATCCCCGTCACCCTCTCTTCGAAAGATTGAACATTCAATTCTAAAATTCTAAATGGAGCGAAGCTTCACAAAAAATCACATTCGATATGTCAATTTTAATTTCGGCATCCTACTAATTAACTCTTTTTTCCCTTGCAGCTGCAAAAATATGCGCCATCTTTAAAACAAAATTTAAAACATTTGGATGTGCCATTGGAGAATTGAGTCATAATTTAAGTTGTAAAAACTACGGCCTGGATGTCACGACGTAACCTACAGTACCCTTATCTTATTCTATGGATAACGGAATAATCATATCATCATTCGATGCAGTTTCTTTTTTCCTTTCCATTGGCCAAGAGTCCACTAGCTACGAGACCTGCAAAAAATGCCTAAAAATTATCGTCTGCTCATGGCTAATACAGTCTAAATGTGTTTGCTGCAAATGATTTTCTGCTCATTCTGCGATTTAACATTTTTAAACAGGTGTAAGTTCAATCGCTCAATGGAATAAAGATTTGTAAATTGGGTTTATGATAAATTGCTGCTTTTCATGAAGGAATATTCTACCGGTCAATTTCAATTTTGGCGCGCTAGTGGTTTAACTCATTTTGCCTTCGTAGCTGCAGGAACATGCGCCATCTTTAAAACAGCTTTTCAAAAATTTTGATCTTCCTCCAAAAGATTATTATATGCCTCAATGAAGAATTCATAATTTTGTGAAAACTACCGCTGCAGTATCTATTATGAACCTATACAACTCTATGCTATTCCATAAATACATATAATATATCATATATCATCGCTAGTGAATATGAATGTTTGAACTAAAGCTACAGATCTAGACCCACCATAAAATCATCAAAATAGGACTCGAGGCGCAATTTCAGTGCTAATTCGATCTTTTCCCGACTCATTTCGCGAGGACAGTATATATTTTAGTGTCCAAAATGTTAAACTACCTATACTTAACTCTCCAGGCTTTCTCCCTGTGTTTTGAACGAAAATTAGAAACATGAAAACCTGCTAATTGCTTGTCACAGTTACATGATGTTAGAATATTGTGTGATGTAATCCACGCGAAGAAATTGCAATTTCTTGTTTTAAATCTTCATTTGCATTTGTAAAGTTACGGGTCATCATTTGAAACAAGTTGTTTTTTATTTACAAAAATGATGAAATTCTCTCTTACGGCTACCATATTACTACAAAAACATGTAATGCCGATAAATTGAAATGAGTACGTACCACTCTAATTTAAGGCAACCTTTAAGTGAATTTAAAATCTTAATCTTTAAGCATCATACACTTTTTATCTTTTCTTTGCCTTGAACTATTAGAGCTAACTCGAAGAACAATGGCGTAGCACTTGTCTTATTGTGTACCTCACAGCTTGTCTGACTTCTTCTATCTTCCAGCAGTAAAAAATCGGATTTAATGACGAGTTAAAGAAAACTAAAGTGATTGATAACGCCAAGCGTAATAAACAGATGAAATTTGTCCACTATTAGGTGCCAAAGCCGTCACTACACCATAGGGAAGATAACAAGCGATTATCGCCAGTTGAAGCCATATTGCACTGAAATAAGGCAATGAAATAAGAACAACGCAGAGATCAGTTGTTGCAAGGCATCGAAGCAAGAGTTTGGACGGCGGATGAAGTGAAGATTCCTTGTGAAGAGCAATTACGATCAGAGCATTCCCAAGAAATGTAGTAATGGACAGAAAAGAGTTTAGATCTACATTAAATGTCAATTGACCGTGTAGTCCATCAGGTAATTCTGAGGAGCATAATAGTTGTTCAACTGTTTTCTGCTGTCCATTTCCAGCAAGGCTTGCTGTTGCCATATTTATCTTGAAGAGAGCTCAGTATTTGGAGCTTAACTGCAAGCTGGAATCGGTTACCCATCAAGGTCTAAACTTGTAGTTATATAACCTAGTAAAGTTAAGCAGCACTGACCTTCCAGCCGCCGAACAATCAAAACTGTCAAAACAATTTTCAAAACAATTAAAACTAAATTTTTATTCAAACTAAGATCACTCATGCCATTTCTTTTCAGTTTTCTAAACCTATCAGCTTTTTCGATGCAAATTACGTATGGATCGTTTTGACGATGTCACGCTTTTACGCCTTTTTTTTTTTCGATTTATCTTGCCTAATTAAGCAAATATGCAAATTTCATAAAAATTGGTTGGAAACTCATGAAAATATGAGCCCCAAACTTACTAATTTTTACAAAGAAGTGTATGCTAGGGAGTAACGCGTGCCCTCTGGCATGATGAATTGATCTATGAATTTGGATTTTTGTTTATATGAAAAATATGAAAAATCATGTATTGATATCACGTGCATGGCATCATCAAAAAGGTCCATTGCCTAAGAGCCGTTTCCTTCCCACTGCTTAACAGCACGTGTTCACTTCAATTTATATCATAAACAGTCTGACTGAATGGAAAGAAAGATGCTTTCCCCATAAAGCTTTGTTCTTAGTAACACAGTTTGGAACGTTTTGCGAATGCCCGCCACGCTTACCTCAAATAATTTAACATTTCACAATTAAATGTTTTCTCAAATTCACGAAAGGTGTAAGTTTAACACTCAATAGCGAAGCTTGGAAATTTTATGATCACCATAAAATACTGCATTAAGGCACACTTCACCTGCCAAATTTGTTTTTAGTATACTAGTTATCATCTCATTTTCTCCTCTCCCCTCGCAGCTACAGAAATATGCGCATCTTAAACAGCACTTTAAAAGTTTGATGTTGCGATTAAATTAAAAACAATTTTTAATTTTCTAAATACTACAGCCTTAGTGTCAATTAGGGTATCCTAGACATCCCAATCTCATTCTTTAGATGTATGTTACCTGTTGCCTGTCCACATTGTGCCAAGTGGTACATGAGGTCACATTATGGCTCATCACAAGGCTTGTCGTGGTGGTGAGGTTTGTTTGGCTCAATGAACCCTAGAGCTATGCCGGCTGGGACCTGGATCTCTGGTAAAGTCCAGACGCACTATCCCGGGAAGGTGAAGCTCGTAAGCGTGCACAGCACTGCAGTTATCTAAGAGAAGGAAAACATGACAGAAAACGACCTCCTTCGGGTCTTGAAGGTTAGTTGAAGTTTAGGCTCCTAGAGAACATTTATGATTACCGAAACCATAAGCACTCTAGAGAATTCCCAATAACTTGGAGAGGCGTCGATTCCTAATCTATAAATGTATAATAAATCATAATTTTGTGAATATTCGTTGAAAATAGGAAAGTAAGCTCGATTAACTTTAGAGGGAACGTGGACCCGACTCGATAGACCGGCGACAATCAAACCTAGAACTAATTAAAGCTCAAGACGACATAATTCATGGAGACATCAAAAAAGGGCTGAATTCGAGGCGGTTGCTAAACAAACCAAGTGCGCAATTTTACTGTTATAGTTTTTGTTTTTTGTTTTTTATTGTTGTTGTTGTTTTTGTAACCGATTGAGAATATGAATGTTTTTTCACCGACTTGGTGCGCGACGAAAGTATTCATTTTCGCGTCAGAATTCCACACCAATCCCATGCAAACTCTACGTTTCGAACAAAAAGAAACATCAAAACCCTCTATCTGCCTATCTAAAAAAAAGTTATTAGGCCTACTCCGGGGCCTTAAGCCGCCTGAAGTTGTTATCGGTTACGCAGTGGTTTCCAAACTCTCAAATTGCCCCTTTAGAAGGATTTATATTAGACTTACATGTAATAACTTTCATGATAAGTTAAAACTCCACTCTAACTCCAAGGAGGAGTCGCGGTGGCCCAATGCCGGTTGGTGCAAAAGACCCTTATTGGGGATCACTGCATTGTTTTCTCGGGCAAGATATTTTACTCTCACAGTGCCTTTCCTCGCCCAGATGTATAAATTGGTACTGGTTAGGGGAAGGGTGGGGGTGAGGCTGAGGTAACTTCAATAGATTAGGAGTTGATACTAGGTGGGCAATTCAATAAGTGTGCTTTCAAAATATATTTTTACACTCCCTCACAATGCATGGACCAACAGAAAACTCCTCCTATGAGTCTGAGGATCCGGTAACTACTGCATGCATTATGCCTCAACGTCATGGCTCCCTTACACATATTATAATAGCCTATTATAACCTCATATTTTAATAGTAATGGACCTGTCTAGCCCTCATGTTAGCAGGAATTATTTCTAGATTACTTATATTGTAGAAAATACTTAAATAGGAATGACAATCTGATGTATACCTTTTCTTTTTGCAGTACAGACAGCTTTTTGT